GCATAAAAATGATGATATGGTCAAAATACTCACTTGCCTAATAATTGTGCACACGGTGTAGAAATAACCAAGCCCAGGAGCATTTTTCCAATCCAGATAATGAAGTCATGTATGAATGGTAGCAGATGAGCCTGAAGACAGATAGGGAACTAATGTGCTTCCCAAGTTTCAGAAAATGGTCAGGCTTAAATCCTATAATTATCAAGTTGGGTTTGTATTTATACAAAAATGTGATTGTTGCTTTGTCTTTTGCTTTTGGGTTGGCAGAACAAGAAGATCAGAGAACTTGAGGAACAGATCAAAACCCTTAAGAAGGGAATAGGTAACATCATACCACCCTTCCTTTTATTTCAGTCCTTAACAGTAGGCAGTGGCAATGTCTTGGTAAAGATGGGAATTGTGAAACAAAAGACCGCATTTCACCCTAACCATTAATAAAGAGATGGACCTTTATGAAGTTCTAGAGTATTAGTATCTGAAACTGATGAAATGTGAAGAATGATTTGAAGGATGTATATCCCAAAGTAAAATCTGTCTTCTGTTCTATTCTGAATCAGAAGATTTATTGAAAGTAGAGGGCTCCTCTTTCTTTTTTCTTTTCCCCTTTTTCTTTTGGTGTAGTTTGATACTTCTTCTTTTTTTTAAAGGAACTCCAAATTCTTTTTTTTTTTCTCCCTATAAAAGAAACTTCATCAGGAGTGACCCAAGTCGAGGAACTGGAAATGATATGCTTTCAGCTGCAACGTCAGGTTTGGGAAATGGAGGTTAGCTATTTAATGGAAAGAAATAAGCATTTCCTTTTTTCCTCAAGGAATCTGAGCTTTTCCAGTAATTCAAAGATAACGGACAGTTGTTGAAGTGGAAAACTACAATGTGTCTAATGCAGGCAGTAGTGAAAAGAAACGCACACATGCACACACACACTTTTTGCCTTTCAGAGTTGTTGCTGTTAAGAAGGGAAGGGAGGGAGTAGGCTTTGCATCTGCAGAGATGGCTGTGTATCAGGACTTCCTTCCCAAACACATATTTTAAACTTTGGGATTCCAAGTTTCTGTTCTGTTGGGGTTTGCCTTGCAGAATTCACACCCCTACTTAAAATGGCTTTAGTTGACTTGCAGGAAAATTAATAATTTGTAATTTCCTGTTCCATCTTAGAATGTACACTATTTTGTCATTGCACATAAAGAGTAATATACGAATTAATAAATACTAATTTTCTTGCCACTTCCTCTAAATTTTCTATTCCCTCTCCCATATAGCGGTTTCTGAATGACTATGGATTGATCTGGGTCGGAGAAGACCCAGATTCCTTGAGAGATCTGGAGTCACTAAAAGAAGAAGGGAATCCAGCATCAAGGGCTTTCTGGAAACCAGGTTAGCTGGGAGGAAGGACTGCCTTTTTAAAGAAGCATGGAAATGCACTGTATCTTTTAGTCTTGTTTTCTTCTTCCCTTTATTGCTTTTATGAATATTGAAAGGCATATTATCAGCTTCTTGGAAGAGGAAACAGTCTTTTTTCTTTGCAAAACTTCATAAAATAGCTCTTTTGATGGTATGTCCTCTCTGTCAACATTACATAATCCTGCTAATAGTCAGACCAGTGATAATAAATAGTAAGACTTTCATGTGGGTCTTAGGACAAAGCTTTTATTGACTGCTCCTATCAAGTTGATTTTTTTTTAATCTTAGGAAATAAAAATTTGGCTTTTTTAGCCCTCAGGGAAATTGTTCCACTCATTCCTCTATTCAGGCAAGCTCTGGAAATTCTTCTACTGGACTCTTGAACATTAAATATTTTGTTTTTTTTGTTTATAATTCAATTGAATGATGTGATTATTTTAATTAAATAATTGTAACTATATTATAGATTCTTTGGAGAAGTCTTTGCAGTGAGAATTACTGTATAAATTATTGTATAAATTTAAAAAAACATATTTTTAAAAGCCACAAACATATCTCAGTTTTCGGAGTGTGCTGTTCAGTATATTATGTATCTCTCCCTAGGGATAAAATGCACCTGCAGCATAAGATGAGAACCTTATCAGATAAAGCAATGCTTTTGTTATGCAGAAATGCAGATAATACCATTCCGTTCATTTGCCACTGTCCACCAGAGCAGTCTTCCCCAAATCAGTGCCCTCCAGGTGTATTTAGACTCCAATTCCCAGAATTCTGGCCAGGAGGGCATCTGGAGGATATCATATTTGGGATTGGGAAGGCTGCTTTGGAATGTTGGTGTTGCTTCAGCAAAAATGCAGTTCAGGTAGAGAGCTTGCACTGACATTCAGAGCTAAACAATAGGGGCTGGAAGATGCCTAACTATTGCTCTCTCATAATAATTTCTCCTTTCATATAGGCGATGCCATCATTTCAGAAACCCCAATCAATTTTGATTTGATTTTTGAGAATCTGAAAGATTTGAATGTGCTGGCTGGAGAAGGTGTGTCCCAAATTAAACACACTACAGGTGGAGCTCGGTTGAAGCAGTTGGATTCAGTTCCTATCACCTTCTATCAGAATGGGATTGTCATGTTCAATGGACCTTTCCGGTCATATGAAGATCCTTCCACACAGGTAGGGATCATGTTTTGAAGAAATGAAATTGTTGACCAGCAGCTAATCTGAAAGTTATTACATGTACAAAATAAGTCTTTTGTGGCAATAATATTCCCCCACAATCACTGCCAAGCCCCTCTCCTTCCTTTATACTGTGGCAGAGAATGGCAAGAATCTTGTGATGGACTGGAATGGAGGAAGGGGGGTGAAAACGGCACTCTCGTCCCTCCCCCCAAGAACTACGGGTAAGATGGAGGAGGGGGGGGGGATGGTGAAAATTTCTTAAACAGAAAGAAAAAATGAGGGGGGGGGGG